GCTTGAGTTTTTGATAATAGCCCAGCTTTTGATGATCCTTCTTTCTCAAAAACAAAACAAGGAAAGAAAGGAAGGAAAGAAGGAAGGGTGGGAGGGAGGAATGAAGGAAGGAAGGAATGAAGAAAGAAATCATTTGGAACTAATTATTACTATGAGCAATGGGATTTTTTGGAGTCTTTTATTGAATTCTGTATATAACATTTGCAATGAAAACACTTGAAATCCAATGACAAATTTACAAATGAGTCTGATGCAAATATCACATAATCACAAGTTACAGGTATTTTCTGATATTTACTTAACAAAAGATTCAAAATTATGACAAAAACATCAGAGAACATGGCATAAGAGCTTATTTTAACTTTACATTAATATGTGATAAGTTAACATACTTCAATGTCAAAAGAAGACAAATATAGAAAAAATATAAAATATGTTTGATTTTACATCTTATTCAGAATTCCATTATTTATTATCATTAAGAATGATTATTTCATTCCATACAAAATAATACTTGCTTGGCTTACCCGTTTGATGAAGAGAACTAAAATTTAAGTTTAGAAAATTTTAAAGTCCAATATAATAAGCATATGTTCCATTTAAATATTCACAGTAACATTGCATTGCTAATCAATAAAAGTATAGCATGTATCACAGACTGTTGACTTACAAGGGAAAGCAGTAACAGTGTCTCTCTGTCAGTTTGAGAAAAGAATAAAAATGTAATATTGTGTCATGGATTAACACATGAATGTCCTCCATATTCAAACTGAGCAGTCATTAGATTTTAATTTTATCTGGGAAAATCCTTAATGGATTTTTAAATATGTGGAAGAACTTTACCAAATATTTAAACAATGGTTAATTGTTAATAATACTGTTATCTCATACTTGATAACCAATTCTTTTTGAATAGTTATAGGAAATAACCAGTTTGCTTACAACAAAGGCAGTTTTTCTCCCCACTCCCTCTTCCCTGTCTTCCACTAATCACAGAACATGTGTGATGAAAAACAGTAGGCTGAAAATGATTCCTAGGGTGGATCTGGCTTTTTTCTCTGAATCAGAATGGCTGCAGTTTCTTGGGTTGACTATTGCTTCTTTCAACTGTTCAGAAACCAGCCATTATGATAAATTGATTAAAAAGGGAAATTAGAAAAATCAGTGAAGTTCATTTTTCAGCCTAGCACTTCGACATTAAATGAATTTAGTGTCTGTGGTCAGGGTATGTGGACTTAATATGTTTTAGGTGGAAAGTGTTTGGATATTACTCTGTGGAAGGACTATAGCTGGGAAGTATTTTAAAAAGTCTGACAATAATAGCAACAATGCCTTTTCACTAAAACCTGAAATTTCCCAATGTAAGTAACTTTTATTACTAAAATTAAACATTAGTGAAAGTTTAAAAGTTAATGGCAGTTATAGGATAAAAACAACATGACAGGGGGTGAACAGTGTAAAGAACATATGAGATTTGGAACCATTTATTGGCCATATGATCCTGGCCAATCATTTGATCTTTCTACACCTTGGGTGTTTAAACTTCAGCTGTTATTAGTACTTCATATGAATGTTTTAAATTTAGATTAAATTATGTGAATGATCTTTGCAAAGTATGACATAAACAAACTTATAAATAAATACATGTTAGATTATGAAAAAAACTGAGGTTTCGTATTTGTTATTCTGACCTCTATATAATCTATATAAGATTTCAAAAATGTTTTCTTATAACATTTAGCACATAACATAGAAATACTACACACACTGTTTGCTTTCCCTTGTGTGTACTGCGTGTATGTGAGTGTGTGTATATATAGGAGCTTTTTAACATAAATTATATCATTTTATGGCATAGTTCCAAAAATGGTCTATACAATGCCCTTAAAATTGAAAAAAAAAAAAGGATATTCTCATTTGGTTTATAGTCATAGAATTTTATGGCATTTAATAAAAACACATTGACAGTTTTAAGTAAAATACTTAACTTCCCCCACCCCCAAACCCAGCATTAAAAGATCACACCATAGCAACAATTTACCAAAGAGATACTACTATGGTTTGTTTAGTATGGTTGGTTCACAAATTGTTGTAACATACAGTATTAACACAATATGCTAGAATCGATGAAATCACTTCTCACAAAGATCACACTAATACATAAATGACTCAATAACACCTAAAGTGAAAATTCAGATTCACAAAACCAAAATTATCCGATTAAATGTTTTAATTAATTGCTCCACTAGTCAAAATATACATTTCCTATTATGATAAAGGCCTTTAAAAACTACCCCCTTTTCTGAATGGAAGGGATATAAGACTAAACCTCTGGACAAATAATCTCAATATGACAAAATATTTCTGTATTATTCAAATGTAGTGTTATAATTTTAACAATTTCTCTAGAGTCCAAATTTTAGCATCCTCCCAACCTAATCTTTTTCCATGACAAAACCAAGAATCAGAATATATTCTTGTTTTTCAATAGGTATAGTCACCTCTTATCTATGTTGTGCAAAAGCTATAAGCCTTCTTTTCCCAGCTATCCACTAATGCCAAACAGAAGTGCTTGAGTTATCCCTGAATTTTGTTTCTCACTCCTGAGCAAAATTAATTACAATATGGCTCCATCAGGCCTCTTTTGTATTAAAACATTCACAAAATTTTATGAATATTGTTTTAAATTATAGTCATTGCTTCTGGGACCAAAAGAGCAATAACTTTTTAATGTGACAAAAATAAACCTTACTATCAGCTACAGCTCAAAGCAGAATTTATTTGATTTTGATTTCCTACAAGTTTATTAAACTATAAAAATTTAAAGAGAAAATTAAAACTTGAACAGACATTCTGTGTAGGTAACTACTCAGCATTCAAAGATGAAATGATAAACCATAATAATTAAGCCATGGTCAAAATGAAAAGTAAGGTTCAACATTTTTATGTCTTGCTGAGGTCAATTAGCAATATTAGAAATATGACCATTTGGATTTCTTCAGTAGAAATATGTGGCATCTTAGTGACGAGAGGGGAGCAACATGTACATGTACACATGTTATAACAATCTGAAAATATGATAGAATTTTCAAAGATGAAACAACACATACAGAATACAAAACTTAAAACGTCTTCACTTGACAGATAAAGTAATTGGGGCTCAGAGGAGTTGAAGGGACTTTCCTAGGGCACATGAGAGTTATTGGCAGAGCCAGCACTACAGCACAGCCACCTGCTTAAACTCTGCCAAATTGCTTTTTGTGTAAAAAGAATCAAGAGATCACAAGGCAAATACTCCAATCACTCCAACCTTTTCCTACCTTCCCCTACTCCCTGGCTTATAATGCTGAGTGTGCAATAAGGCTTTGGTACTGTTTTAGCATTTCATATACAATTTTCAAATCACCTTAGCATGTAATTAAATTTAACAAATGCCCACTCCTCCCTTCTAACTATTTCATTAATCTGTTTCTATTCTGCAGAGTCACTTTTCTACTTTTTCATGATCCCATTAAAGATCAGTGAAAATTCTTAAAGGAGAAAGAATCCTATTTCCTCTTCTTACAATCCATTTGAAGAATGATATATTTATGGCAGATTCAAGGCTTAAATCTTATTTCAATCTATTCTTTCCTGAATAAGAAAATCTGAGTACTTAAGTATCCTTCAAGGCATTTTTAAAATATGTATAATGAAGATTTGGGGACTAGAAAGAGCTTTAAAGATTAGTGAACCCAGCACACTCATTTTGCAACTCAAGAAACTGAAGCCTAGCAATGATAAGTGACTTATCAAGGGTTCCATAGGTAGCAAGCAGGTAAGAATTCTGGTCCCTTTGACCTAGACCAGTACTATTTTTACCACCCACTCTGTGTACCAATTTGGTATGACAGTTTACTCATCTGACACCATTCTGTGCTGTTATCGCAAAAGTCCAGATTTTGTCTCTATTTGAAACTGTAGCCTGTAATAATAATTCAGATAAGGTATTAAATATACTATGATGCTTAAAGTTATGTCATTGTTTTACAAAGGTAGTTTTGTGTCTATTTTTCTAACACCTACTGATCCTTACTATAATATCTGAACGTCTAAACCTCCTTTAACACAGTTGATTGATTTGTTTCAATCATCCCAACAGCTGATGTAGATTACTTTACTGCTACCCAGGCTGTGATCATCACTTATGAGGATTGAGTTGTCTGCAATGGACTCAGGGCCAGTGTCTCTACTAAATGGGCTAACACAGAACAAAGACAAGGTGGTCGTTATATTTTCACTTTAATCACAAATCATCTAGATTGGAGGTTCTAGCTCAAATCTGGGATAGTTATCATTCCTTTATTTCATTTTTTCTATAGTTATTTGGTCTCAAAATTTGACCACAAAGAAATTACCAGAAGATTGTGAATAATTCCTTGTAGACATTGCCTCAAAGAAAGTTACTTGGATTATATCTCCTATTCATCTGTTCTGCTGCTAGTAGGTATAAGAGTGTTTTAATTACTGATTCTTATACATATATTAACAATGAAATTCATCACTTGTAGTCCATTCTATAGGGCATCAAAAAGTTTATATTCTTGGCTTTGCTACCAAAAATATTTGTACCATGATTGAAATTTTATAAGTGCTCTTATTATAACTTAGCATTGTTGTACGTTTACATAATAGGAGATTGGTTATTTATGTATTTGTTCAGGTATATTTTTAAAATAAAATATGGAAATGAAAAAAATCTTCTATATAGTAAATGTTCACAGTTTGACTTTCCATAAGGCTTATGAAATAATATACAAATAGCTACCATTCTGCTGAAATGTCACAGTAAATACATTAATAATGGCACAGAAGTGAAATGTCCCCAAGTGGGAAACCACCTTCATGACAATCCTAAATCTCTTTTCTAATTAAAACTTTTTTTAATTGAAAAAGAATTCCATTTCTAAAAGAATATAAAAATAGAAGATGAAACTTTTACATACATAATTTTGAAGGAAAAGCTATAAATATTAGATGAACTATTATATATATCTTTAAGAATGTGCTTTCTCTCATTACGCCAAACATTCCATGAAAATTAAATTAAATGAATATATTATATATGAACTGTTGAACAGTGTAACTAAATGTTAACATTTTAGTTAAGATAGACCACTTAAACATATAAGTACTAATACATTTTTATAAAATTAAGCTCAGCTAAAACTTATCTATAAGACTAATTTACAAATCTATCATTTTGAAAAAAAAGAATATTTAATCAAGCAAGGCACATTTCTTTTAGGCAAGTCTGTCTTTAATACCATTCATTTGGGCACAGTGTAGATTTCACTTATTTATGTGTAAATGGGCTAATCTATGTATCAGAGCCTTTGGTACAAAATACACCTTCACAAATAAAGTTGTATATAACTGAGAACACAGAATATAACATGAATATATCTCATAATTAAACATAGTCCAGTAATAAATTGAAAAAAAAAAACAGTAAGAGTTGGCTGTTAGAAACAAATATTTAGGCTTTCTTTATCTGCAGCACTGATTATAGCTTTTGGATGATTAGATTTCATCAAAATGTCAAAAGGTTGAATGATACCTTAATATTTTTAATGTTCTTCTTTATCTTTTGATCAGTACCTTTTTACTACACACAGTATGAAGAGAATCCTCTATCTTTAGAGCTATTTCGCATTTGTTTGAGATATATTATTTAATGTCAACTGAAACAAAAATAGGTGCTGGCAGACAGATCACTGCCCATCAGTGGTATAATTCAGATAAGATATTTCTCATTACTGAGAAATGCTGACAGTAAAGCATTCTTGATCCAGGCAATTTGAAACTGAGCATCCTACTGGTCAGTGCAGCTCTACAATTCTTTATGAAGGGCTCTTCAGGGATCTGTCAGACAGAGTAAACACAATAATTTACTGTATACTTAGCTTTTAGAAAACTATAGACTTTATGTCAATGGAAAATGTCCTATTCATTACATTTTTTAAAATTTTTGCTTTTTCCACTGTTGCCCTGAAAAGTTCAAGCAATTTAATTGTCTAAATGTATTAACTACATATTGAATGCTTTTAATTTATAACTTATAAAAAGTTTCAGAGTACACTGAAATTATAAACTTTTTCCCATTAATAATGATGCCCAAATTTAGTAACTTAATGCTTGCTTTTTGAATAGAAAAATTTGTCTTTACTCTTAGAACCATCTGCAAGGTTCTGAGTGCCCTCTGATTTTTCTAAAAATGCATGTATTAATTTTCTCAATGTATTCCTAAGGGTTTCTGGCTATAAATCCTACTGTGGTAATCTATGATGAGAGCTCTTTTGAAGTAAATAGAAATCCAGTGCTAAGATAAGTGTCATGGAGAGGGGAAAAAAAAGAGAAAATCTCAAAATGAGTACTATGAATATAATGTTCTAGGAGCTACAGAATGTCATGCTGTAGTTTATCATTTCATTACAAATAACTTTCAAATATGTTGATTCTTTAAAATACGAACTCTGCATATTTGTGTACCACTTTAAGATATCACAAGTTAAGACAACAAAAACTACTTGACTAGGGTCTGTGGAGAACCAAGAGATAAGGTTTGGTGTTCCCCTTTTCCCAACTACAAAAACCATTATTGAGAAATGCTAACAGTAAAGTATTTCTTATAAATAGCATCAGGCAATACAATAATTGCATTCACTGCCACATCCAGAATCTAGAATGGTGTTTGGCACATAGTTGACACTTTATATGCTGAATGGATGAATAAATCCGTGCCACTCTCATAGTGTCTGACATATAGGAAGTACTCAGTAATTATATGTTGAATAAACAAATGGATATATAAAAATTATATTTATACACTCTAGAAATTTACTAACTATATAATATAAACACTTACAAAGACAAAAAAGTGCTATAAACCCAGCTCCAGGTTTCAATATGTGAATATTATCCATCATAATGCATAGAGAAGACTGTTTCCCATATAGACCCCTGGTTTGAATGGGTACCCCAAACCAGTGGTAAGTGCCCAAAGATGGTGATCTGGAATTTGAGTGTGCTTTTGATGAAAGAATTATTCGCTCACTAAATTAAATACTGTATGTCTACTGTGTGCTGGGCAGTTATCTATCTATTAAAAAGCTTTCCTTATTGGCCTAGATTATATTTGGTCACCTTGATCAAAGATATAACTTAACACTGATTTTTAGGCAAAAAGCCAGAGTATATTCCTAGTATGCTGAACTTTTATTAGAATAGCTTTAAAGATTATAATGACCTGACAGTTATTAATGACTACTAATTACAAGAAATTACAAAGAACATGAATGACCTGGCATCCATTTTATTTCCTAAGCGTCTAAGCTCTGCTCAATGCTACCATAGTCTTGCTTATCTTGAGATGGTTGTATTAAGCTACGCTTGTCTTGTGGCTATTGGTTCTTTTTATATAAAGGGTTGGGTTTTTTTAAATTTAACTACATGGATCAATATCTGCCTCACAAGGTTCTTGAGATATTAAGTAAGAATGATATAGCATGGCATCCTCATAAATTTAGGTGTGGAGGATACCACTAAAAATAAAGGTGGTATCAGGATAGTATCGTGATGTTTATCTTAGTGGCTGAGAAATGGGTTGAAAGCCTCAGAAGAATGGACACTGAGTTAAGTATAAAAATCAACTCTATAAAAAGAAAGGTATAATAGAAAATGGTGAACTATAAGTGAAGATATTTGACCAGATATTAATAAATGTTCTAACATACAAAGCAAAAAGAGAAGAACAAATTTCAGTAATTATTAAATTTGTAAAGAAGAAGTAATTAGTACCTACTCCAAGGCCTAAGTGGAAGAAGTACAGAAACCTAGCTTATTTAACTGTTAGTCTGACTAAACTGTATTTGATGAGGAAAGAGTTGAAATCATTATATAACATGTAGTTTCATGGGAACTTTGTTTTCATGTGTCTACATTTTGACATTTATTATACTAATTAGAGTTGGCTGCACACCAATAAGTTCTATAAATTCTACCAACTAAATGGTAATGAATAAGCCTGAGGACTAGAAAGATTTCTTGCTCAATTTGTACAATTCTCTGATTGAGGTCTTGGAAATTACATACTCTTGGCAAGCAAAAAATTTAAACTCACTCATTATCTAAAGTTGGTAATATGCTAAGATGTAAGCTTTATCAAAAATCTGTTAAATTATGGGAAAATGAGCTGTGAGGTATAATCAATACTTCTTTGAGCAGCATTTAGGTTTATTAATAAATATCCTCAAATTACATAGTTATACAATAAAATAAACTGCTCTTTTGGAATCAGTTTAAAATGTTTCCAGGTAAAAGATCTATAAGATCTAAGTATAAAGCAATTCAAATACAGTTCTTATTTAAAAAATTATTTCTGTCCATGATTTTTGGTTACCAAGTAAATTTTGTCCTTCAGAAATCTGACATATTCTCTCTCTTGTTTAACATGCTTTTCAGCATAATTTCTTATAAAAGTAGTATATTTGTGATTATCTGATATTTTATTGTTCTGCAGTCAGACATGAGGTAAATACAAAATGTAATGGTATACGAGACTGCCTCTTAAAAATGTCTAATACCTTTACTAACCCAAGTTATAATAGAATATCTGATAAAAATCCATATTTAGTTAAATAATAGAAATAAAGAATGTCATAATCCCTCATCCCAAACCAAAAAAATGAAAAATATTTATTTCAATTCTCTGTTTTGTATAATTTCTTTTAAAAGCCCTAACAATGTGTCCTCAAAAGAGAGAAATGATCTCTGTCCTGATGGAAGGAGAAAAGAGTTTCTAATTTCTCCTGGTCTATATATATAAGCTGAAGCACAGATGTTAGTTTTTAATTTGTTGACATATTTGGTAAGGAAATTGTGTTACTTGGATATGCAGAGGCCACAGCAAGGTCTGGTTTGCCTTAGAAATCTAGGGAAAGGAGAAAATTCAGAAGGGGTGTGGAGAAAGTTCCTCTCTATCCATATCAGGAAGAGAATCCTCATTTCCTACTGCAGAGGAAAGTATATCAGTTATATTACCTAAAATCATGGAAATAACTTCAGTACTCATATCAATGTTTTAATTAGTTTCAGTCATTTCATACTATATGTGTCAGGTTTTCAAAGCTGCTGGGAATCTCCCAATACCAACATATGCTACTGGATTACTTCTCACCTTTCATTCTATTATTTATAATAGAAGTGGTCTAAGTTTTGCCATTTTATAAAAGTCACTTTAAGAATCTGCTCTTATTTTTCATGGATCAAATGTCTCCATCTCCTGTCATGTATGAACACCCACTTTAAAAAATAGCTGATTTTTGCTGGGTGTGGAGGCTTACACTTGTAATCCCAGTGACTTGAAAGACTGAGGCAGGAGGATAGCTTGTGGTCCAGGAGTTTGAGACCAGTCTGGGCAATATAGTGAGACTCCATCTCTAAAAAACTAAAAAAGAAAAATTAGCTGGGCATGGTGGCACATGCCCATAGTTCCAGCTACTCAAGAAGCTGAGACAGGAGGATTGCTCGAGCCCAGGAGTTCGTGGCTACAGTAAGCTATCAATATTATTGTGCCACTGCACTCCAGCCTGGGCGATACAGTGAGACCCCATCTCTAAAAAACTAAAACTGACTGGGTGAGGTGGCTCATGCCTGTAATCCTAGGACTCTAGGAGGCCAAGGCAGGAGGATGGCTTGAGCTCAGGAATTCGAGATTAGCCTGAGCAAGAGTAAGACCTCATCTCTACTCAAAATAAAAAAAAATTAGCCAGGAATTGTGGCATGTGCCTGTCATCCCAGCTACTTGGGAGGCTGATGCAGAAGGATCATTTGAACCCAGGAATTTGAGGTTGCTGTGAGCTAGGCTGATGCCACAGCACTCTAGCCCGGGCAATAGAGTGAGACTCTGCCTCAAAATAAATAAATGAATAAATAAATAAATAAAATTAGACACTAAAAAATAAATAACTGATTTTAAAAGCTGAAATAATAATCTCTTCTAGAATTAGGTTATTTTGTAAAAGAAATGACTTTAGCCAGTGAGGCCATATCTACAGTGATATAGTTCTTTATTGTGATTTACTGGTGAAATCTCTAGTGTCTGATTGGATCAGCTTCCATAGTAATGAAGATGCCATGGATTTTTAGGACCCATCATTAACTGAAACCAGGACTGAGCTTACAGGGAAGTTTCTTAGAATTTCTCCTAAATAGAAAAATAGGTAAATCCCTTGGAGATATCATTTGTTCTGATTTTGCTATGCCACATGGTTCAATGAGTCAACATATATATAGTGAGTATCATTTATAAAGAGCACTCTATTAGGCATTATGTAGGAAGCACAGTCTTCGTGAAGCAATCTAACTTTCAGGTATCCTTGGTGATATCTCATATAATGTTATATTTAAGTTATTTACATTAAGGAATTCCATACCCATAATTGGGTAGTACTTCTTGTGGAAAACTTGTTGGGGCATGTTTGACCAAATGGGAAGCCTTCTCCAGTAAACTAATTACAAAGAGTTTTATCTATAAAAGCATGGTGAGGAGCATAAGCCACATATGGATAAAAATGAAGTACAGATGCCTGACACGAAAATTTTGTTTATATGTTAAAAACAACTCAAATTGAAATGCAATTTCCTTCTCGTCTTTCTGTCCAATAAATGCTTATTGAGCACCAACTGTATTCTAGATACTATTTCAGGTCTTGGGGGATATAGCACAGTAAACAGACAAAAATCCTTGTACTCATGGAAGAAAAGAGAAAACAGACAATAAACAAAGTAAATAAAATATCTAATGTGTTAGAGGAAAAATTAAGCTTAGAAAGGAAATGAGTGCTGTGGGGGCTGCAATTTTAAATAGTGTGGCTAGCGAAGGCATCAATGAGGAGGTAACACCTGAAGGAAGTGATGGAGTGAGTCATGCAGATATCAGAAGCCAGAACATTCCAGGCAGAGGGAACAACAAGTATAAAGACCCTGAGGTGGAGCATGTCTTGTGTATTTGTGAAGAGAAGCAAGGAAGCCAGTGTGGCTGCAGCACAGGATCTGATGGGAGAGGAGTCAGAAATAGGTCAGAAACACAAGGTGGGGAAAATTAGGTAGGGTCTTGCAGACCATTATAAGGCCTTTAGTTTGTATTCTGTGTGAAATGGGAAGTCAGATGATGTTTTTGGCACATGGGAGTAACACGACCTGACAGGTGTTTTAAAAAGATCATTCTGGCTGTTATGTTGAGTAGACTCAAGTAGGGGACAGGATGGAAGCTGGGGGACCAATCAGGAGGGTACTGTAATAATCCAGGTGAGAGAGAATGATGGCTTAGATCACGTGGTAGCAGTAGGAGTGGTAAGTAGTGGTAAGGCTCTCAAAGGATTTTAAAAGTATATACAGGATTTGCCAACAGATTGGATAAACGGTATGATAGAAAGAAGAATCCAAGGATAATTCCAAGGATTTTAGCTTGAGCAACTGGAAAATTGAAGTAGTAGAGAGGAGGAAGAGGGCAGGAAACAGAGGCTTTATGGGTGGAGGATGAGGAAAGAGGGAAGCTTAGTTTCGAATACATTAAGTTTGAGATGTCCATTAGATAACCAAGCAGAGAAGTCAAGTATACAGGTAGAAATTCAATCAGGAGTTCAGGGGAAAGATCTAGGTGATAGATACAAAGTTACATGTAGATAATCTAAAGCTGTAGTCCCCAACCCCTGGTCCATGGAACCAGCCCGCAGGCTATTAGAAACCTGGCTGGCTGTGCCGCAGCCTGAACTCTGCCTTCCTCCCCACTCCTCACACCCCACTTCCCCCCTCCCATGTCCTGGTCGGTGGAAAAACTATTTTCCATGATACTTAGGAACTGGTCTGCACAGCAGCAGGTGAGCAGCGGGTGAGTGGTGGGTGAACCAGCGAAGTTTATCTGTATTTACAGCTGTAGCCCATGGCTCACATCACCACCTGAGTTCCTCCTCCCCATCCTGGGTCTGTGGAAAGATTGTCTCCTTGGTGCCAGAAAGGTTGAGGACTACTATTCTAAAACTGTGCAACTAGGACTGAATGCAGAAAAAAGAGGTCCAAGGACTGAGCTGTGGCTCCTGGGGCTCTCCAACATTACAAGCTAGGGAAGATGAGAAAGAACCAGTAAAGGAGATTGAGAAGAAGAGGCCAGAGAGGTAGAAAGAAAATCCAGAATGTGGTATCTTATCCTGGAAGTCAAATGAAGAAAAGTCTTCCTAGGAAGGGGGAAATATTCCACCATGCCTAATGCTTCTGATAGGTCAAATGAAATAAGTACTGAGAAATGACCACTTAGTTATATGAGGTTATCAGTGGCCTTGACAAGTACATTTTTGGTGGAGTGGTAGGAGTGAAAGCCTGTTTGGTGCAGACTCAGAAGAGAATGGAAGGGATTCAAAGGTGAACAAAGAGAGATATAGTCCCTACTCTATCAATTTCTAAGAAATAGAAATTGATCATATAACATAAATAAATGTAAAATTACAGCTATTGTCAATATCACATACTATATTTAATAAATTATAAGATTTACCTTTTTAGATTTGAGCATCTATGCAATTGAGATGTACCTTAAAATCACTGGTACTTCACCCTTACAATTGGCAGCTTTTCTTTTCTTTTTTAAAGTGGTATACAAAATAATGATGGCTCTTATAATCACCACCTTAAATTTGATGAACTACTACACTGTAATAGGAGGATAATAAAACCAGAGTCATGAAAGATGTCTTAGAGCAGGGGACCCCAGCCTATGGTGAGCTGTGTAATTATTTCATTATATATTACAACGTAATAATAGAAATAAAGCACACTGTAAATGTCATGTGCTTGAATCATCCTGAAACCATACCCCTCCCCCTAGTCCGTGGAAAAATTGTCTTCCATGAAAATGGTCCCTGGTGCCAAAGAGGTTAGGGATGCTGTCTTAGAGGAAGTACTGAAGTAAAAACAGCAGTTAAGATAAGGAGGGAAAGAGGGGGCTGCTGGACCATTTGCGACGATCACCATAGGTTAAGGTGGAAAAGGAGCTTATTCTGTAACTGGAAGAAGACTAGGTGGCTGGAGCACAACAAAATAAGGGAAGAAGCATAGGTAAGGAAGAGATAAGGCTGGATATGAGATCACGTGGAGCCAGATCATGTGGGGCCATGAAAACTATGCTAAGCCTTTGGGTTTCTATCTTAAGAATAAGGAGAATATCCTGAAATAATTTTAAGCAGATTTGGGTAATATAATCACATTTCAGTCTCAAAAAGGTCATCTGGCCACCATGTGGAGAATAGGTCAGAGGGGCCATAGGAAATGTGAGGAGGCCAGTTAAGAGACCTTCACACTAAACCAGGATAGAGATGATAGTGTGAGTTATCGTGGTGGTGGCAGTGATACAGCAAAGTGTACTGTTTTTAGAGATATTAGGGAGGCTAAATGACAAAATTTGGTGATAGGCTGAATGTATTTACTACTTCTATGGATCTATGATTTCGCTAATAAATACATTGAGAACACTAGGCAATAAATCTGCCTTCTAAGGACAACTGGAAAAAATAAAAATGATTTATAAATAGTTATGATGCACATATGAATGAAAACCAATAATTTGGAAATTCATTAATTTTCAGAAAAAGAATCAGACCACTTAGATCTATAGGCAGAAAGTAAATATGCTGCAGGATAGAAAGTAAACAGGGAACAGGTGAGGGGTGTGTGTGTGTAATAAATTGCCCTACTTTTTCTCTTCCAAATTAAATCATGTTTTAATTTAAGGAATATGCTTAAATGTATAAAAATAAAAATCCTTGTAATCCTAGCTCTTGGGAGGCCAAGGCGGGTGGATCGCTCAAGGTCAGGAGTTCAAAACCAGCCTGAGCAAGAGCGAGACCCCGTCTCTACTATAAATAGAAAGAAATTAATTGGCCAACTGATATATATAGAAAAAATTAGCCGGGCATGGTGGCGCATGCCTGTAGTCCCAGCTACCCGGGAGGCTGAGGCAGAAGGATCACTCGAGCCCAGGAGTTTGAGGTTGCTGTGAGCTAGGCTGATGCCACGGCACTCTCTCTTGGGCAACAAAGCGAGACTCTGTCTCAAAAAAAAAAAAAAAAAAAAAAAAATCCTAGGATTCAGAGGGAATTTCTATAAAGAATAGGGGTTTAAAATAAACTTAATGGAAAACAAATGCAATAACACTGTTGACTGATATATAATGCACAGGTGCAATGCTAATTTCCATTCTAAAAAGTTGGTGGGAATCTCAACAGAGATTCTCAAGAGTCTCTGTGCTATGATATCAGGGATGGGTGTGTGGTTGGAGGATCACTGGGGGAGAAAAGGGTTCTCCTCCCTCCCTACTATCATATGGGAGGGTCTGATGCCTGTATCTGCAAAGCCATTGGCCTGCATGAACAGATTTATTTATAACATTCTTCAGATCTGATGAAATATCATTTTTTGTTCATTTGAGTGTTATATTACTAACCACCAGAATCCCAGGCTTTATTTTTCAGGGCAGAATTCATATTCTGCACTACTTAGGTTACAACAATAATAACATGGCTCCCTAGAAAATGATGGTGCCTCTTTTCCAGATCTCTTCTTCAATGCATTTGATGGCTACTGGTGCAAATTTTAAAATGTAAGGAAAGACACATTCAGTACAAAAAATGAAAAGAAAATAAAAAAGAAAAACCATGAAAATGTTTCTTTGTAAAATGCATTTTTCTTTAAAACTTGGAAGAGAAAAATAGCTCATAGCATCATTAAAAACCAAGAAAAATATCTGAAAACTTTCTAATCAGTCCAAATAATTTAAATTATATTTGCAAGCTAAATATGAGTATATAAAGAATACTATTATCATATGCCATATAGCAACAGCCATTTTCTGGCAGGAGGTTCAGAGCTGAGTCACTACAGTATGATTTGGGATCTCACTGGCTTCCCCTCCCTTCTTCCTGCCTTCTGTGATTTGCTTTCTTTCAAAGGCTATTAACTAATTCCTGAAGATGTACAAAAAACAAGTACAATTAACATATACAAAATTTGACTTCTTTCAAAGGCTATCAACCACTTCCTGAAGGAGTACAAAAAACAAGTACAATTAATATATATAAAATTGTCACCCAAAATATAGGAAATCAGTAGTACAAAACCAATAGTTTTTAGTTTTATCCTCCTTAGTTTAGAAGGCCTAATACAAAACAGAAAGAAAAAAATCCCACCCTAAAATGCAATCCCTAATATTTTCTTCCACATTCTTATGCTCCTCACCTCTATCTCACAGTGTTTCCATAAGTCTTCGGATTAGGGGGGGCACATGTGCTTCTTTGCATTTCTTAGTGGGAAGGGTTATCACTTCTATTCACAGCTGAGAGTTGGGAAGGACTTGGAACTGCTGTAGAAAATATTGAAATTTTAAATGTATAGAAATCAATAAATTATAGTTATGGTTCTCAAAAGACTACATTGTTGGTATATGTTTTATATATATATATAGTATTTATATACAATCAGTAAAGCAATTACTTGAGTATATAATATGCTGAGGAGGTAAATAATAAGTTTTATATAAACAAACCATAACTTTAAATGTCTGCATACTGTGCATTTAAAATTTCAATACTGGAATTTTATTTCAAAGTTTAGAAATAACTGATACAACACTTCCTTTTATGTGCAGGTGTTTGTGGTTATGTCATCACTGTTGGTAGATATTTAAATGCAGCATCATATCAGTTTAAAATACCATAAAAGAAATAAAATAATAATAATGTTAATTTCCATGCTTCTCTCTGGATTCACCAGTTGTACGGCATATACATTTTTCCTCAGGGTGTTAATGGATATACACTGATCCAGTCACAATTCCTCACATGAATCTCTTGCTACACAGACATATGTATACTTTTTCAACACCTAAGACATGCAACTGAGCTCAACAATGAAACCTGTATTTTGGCAAAGCTAACTGGCATGTGCAAACATAGATTTGTTAGCATTTTGCTCTAAGCCCCAAATCACTATCCATTTTCACTTCATAAATGATTTAGGACCTTAGAGAAGGGGCTACAGCTATTATGTAGGGTAAAATTATATTCTAATGTTTTTAGGGCACAGATATTCTTAAAGATCCATGGAGTGATTAAGTAAGGCAATAATGTGACAAATTTCAATGAACTGGCAATCAATCTCCTTCTGTTTTCAATGCTTCTGTTCTAAGTAATTTCTTCCTTCTTAATAAGGAGAGTCAAAATGTTTATACTACTTTCTGGAATGGTTCTTCAGTATAAGGAGATGGAAAAACAATAATTTGTGTAATACTATCATCTATTGTTGATTAAAATACATGAAAACAGGAAATTAATCTTAAAACTTAAAAATATCCATTGTCCTAGCAGGTATCAGTACTATGACTGATTATATTTCTAAGATTTAATCCAGATAAATCAATCATCTAAGAAAATAATCTTTTATTACTAGAAAAGTCAATCTCTTCATCCGATTTAAATAAGTTATATTTGATCCTTCTGGTTAAAAATATCTGATTTTCAGTATACTGAATGAAATAGGTTTCTGGAGATTGTTCTTTACATAAACTCATTAATTAATAACATAGGCTGAAGTCAAACCTAAAAGCATAAGAGATTTATTTTATCTTTCAAGTCACATAATAAAAGCAGCATGGGTTTTGGAGCCAGAATGACTTGACTTTACATCATGGCTGGGTTTCTTGCTAGCTGTGAAGTCTTAGGGAAATAGCTTAACTTTAAGGCATCTATTTTTTGCCCTCCTAAAATGAGGTTAATAGCACTTACCTTGCAGAGTTGACAAGTGTTCAGGACACGGTTGAACCTTTATAAATGGTAATTATTATTGTTAATATAAAAAGCAAATAGGAATACACTGATTATTTATGTATTTCACATTCACAAAGCTTTGTATTAATTATACAATGCTTATGAATAATGATCACAAATTAATCTCTTAGCAATGTCATACAATTATTTTTTCTAAGTGTTCTACCTGTATTAACATTTAATATTCACAACAAATCTATAAAGTACTGTTTATTATCCTCATTTTACAAATAAGACAATAGAGGCACAGAGTAGTTAAGGCATTTGCTCAAGGTCATACAGCAGAGTCAGGATTCAAACCCTGGCAATGTGATTGCAGAGTTTATGCTTTTAACTACTTTTAAAAGCCTGCAAATAACATCAACGTAAGATAATAGCCATTCACTCAAAAAATATAAAAGGTATTATATTCTGTGCTATGCACTAGTATTCACAACTTTATCAAGACACAACCTACAATCTTTAAGGACTTTACAATATGGCGACTAGAAGCAATTCTAGTACCTCAAAGTTATGACTCAAAAGACATGACATTTCTCTGGGTTAAGGAAAAAAATTCCCCTTCGAATTACTTCTATTTAATAATCATAAAAGTCATGACACAACCTTAATTTACTTACGAGAATCAGGATTTCTACATCTTCTGAATAAATGTGAATAAAATTGTGTCTGCACTTTGTTTACCTTTATGTTAAGTTCTTTTAAGCATAGATATGAGAATTCTTATGTCACTGCATAGTGTGTCTAAAATATTACCAAATTGAGTCATAAAAAGAATTTCTAGTCATTAAGAATACCAAAAATTTGGTCAAAATGTAGATCAATGATCAAGGTAATTCAAACAAGAAGCAAAGGAAACTAGATAAAGGAGTCCTATTTAGATATACATAGATAAAAACAAACAACTCTATGAGAAGTTCTGTATAGATTTCTTGCCTCTATTTTTTTGTCTTTTCCTTCCTTATCCTCCTCTTACTACCTCAATCATTATCTTCCACTCTATTAAATGGATGAATAATAAAGTAACAGGCTTCTAACTACCTGAAAATACTTTATGAGCTTTAAAAATAGCATTACTCTCATTTAGTCTGGAAGGACAGAATAGTTATATGCTATCAAACCCGAAAATTGTGGATAATGTATTATTCATATAATGTATATGAAACAAAATGATTATGTTTAAATAAAATGTTACCCTTATTTCAAATGTAACCATTTTTGTTTCAAAGAACTGTACTACTACTACTAAATAATTATGTAAATTAAAATTGGACCAATAATTTAACAGCACTTGTCTGTTTATCCTTTTAAGGTGAAACAGGTTGTTCAGAAGCCGAGTGGGTTAGAAAAAGAATGGAATTAACTTTAATTCAGCTTGAGTGAAGGTTATTCTGAAGAGGAATGACTTATTTTTCATTCTTTTGCAATAAACAATGGAAACCAAAGGATAGTTAGCAACGTGGAAATCAAATGAGAAAGGTGTAAATGATCTTTAAAAAGGCACCTGGCATGTAATTAATATAAAACTACTGGTTTTGCAAATATCATTGACATAGATATAAATGACATGTCCCTGGTTCCCTATACAAAAAGATAATGCTCTCAGTAGACCACAGTGCTCACCTGATTCTGTCTCTCTTCTGGCAACCCTTGGCATATGGCTGAAACTTGCAGGTGTTCCAAGATCTTGTTACTTCCCTCCTTTTCACTGATTGTCTGCAATTCCCTCAGTTAAAAATGTGCATCTATTATATATTTTAAGTTTATATAGCTTTCCATGTGCTGTGATGGTGACAGTTCTATTGTGGAATCTGATTTTTTTTTAAGAGGAAGTCTGAAGGTCCCTTGTGGTAAGGTTGTGGGTACACTGAATCTCTTGTTTGCTTATGTACAGAACACTTACATTTTCTTTTTAATATCATTTGTTGGCTTAAAACTTCTTGGAGAAAGAAAACTGTAGAGAAGCATCTTTTAAAGTTATTGCCTAATAACTTTCATTTAATTCAGATCATGCCTTATTGTGGTATATATCTAACATTCCAAACACCATATTTTCCATTATGAGATGACATCAATGATTTTTGTAGTTTAAAAAAATATGTTGCGTGACTTTATTTGTGTGGTTTATTCAAAGAGTGGTTTTCCTTATGAAATCATGTAAGTAGGAACCATCTGGAAAGGTTACTGTGGAAACGCAGGGCCTGTCGGGTGGGGCTAGAGAGCAAGAGATGCCATGACAACCTTTTTCGGGTTTCCCAGGAAACATGGTTGCTATGGGAACTGCATCAGTCAGGTCCGAATTAGTAACTTCCGCTGGAAGGGGTGTCTGCCACTTTAATCTTCTTGTGATACTGCAGAAGCTTTATCTTTCAGATTCATTAGGAGTTTGGGGTTTTTTTTTGTTTTTTCCTCAGCAGCACTGAAAACATCTGTTTTTAGACTTTGATAGCTGTTGGCTGGGACATATCACACAGAACTTCACAGGAATCTATTTGTTTAATACTTTCAAAATGCTTAGCAAGCCCCAAAGAGTTAAACTAATTAGTCAGATAATGATATCTTGGGCATTTCCCTTTATTCAAAGTTGTAGAGACCCTTAAAATTCCAGGAGAGGGGATTCAAATAGAAAGTTCAGTCAAAACTAAACAAACTTATGGTTCCAGTTAGACTTTTCTTCTACATATCCACAGGGTAGGCAATTGAACTAAATATTCAATAAATAATGCTGAAAGGTCCATCAAACTGAAGCATTGCTTAAGAATCTGTGTGCTTTTCTTGGTAAAGAAACAACTGCCTTTTTAAAGTTTGAGGTTAAACCGTTAACGCTAACTGTTCTTTAAGTTTCATTTCCTCCCAGGATGTACTGTTTTTTTTGTTGTTTTTTTTTTGTAGGGTGTGTACTAGAAGTCAAGTTTAATGTAAATTTGTTGTTCATTATGTCAAGAGAAAGGGAGGGAAAAATGGAGAGCTGAAAGAATGCAGCCCACTTGCAAAACAGGCACCTGTTTCAGTATGAAGCAGTAGGGACAGGAAGAATAAAGTGTGCTTCCCACTTTATGTCCTTTCCTTGATGAATGGTCTGGAAATGTATAAAACAAAGGCATACACAGACCAAGGGGGCACGTTCCACACAATACTGAGAGCACGGTATGTCACTGGTATCATATATTAAACATCGGTGAATATCTTTTTGATGTTGACACAGGAGTTGGGATTATTGTTCGTGGTGCAAGTGGCAGTGGAATTGCCCGTTTTAAAAGGGGTCTGGGGGAAAGCGCTATGGTTCATACCTCCCTCTTCGATCACCATATACTCCGACTTACTCAGAGTCGAGTTACTCCTTGCTTTTCGGAGCTCCTCAGCCGAAGGAGAGAGGTGCTGGCAACTTCCCACGTGCATATACTGGGCTTGCTCTTCCCCTTCTGTCTCCCGGTGGTAAAAGTAATTGAAGTTGGAAACAATCACAGGAACTGGCAATGCAATGGTCAAGACACCAGCGATGGCACAGAGAGATCCCACAATCTTGCCTCCTATGGTCACTGGGTGCATATCACCATAACCTACTGTTGTCATGGTTACCACTGCCCACCAGAAGGCATCCGGGATACTGCTAAAACCTGACGTGGGGTCGTCTGCCTCGGCAAAGTAGACAGCGCTGGAGAAAAGGATGACCCCAATAAAAAGGAAAAAGATAAGTAACCCCAACTCCCGCATGGAAGCTTTCAGTGTTTGTCCGAGAATCTGCAGCCCCTTGGAGTGGCGGGAGAGCTTGAAGATGCGGAAGACTCTCACCAGGCGGATGACCCTCAGGATGGCCAGGGACATGGCCTGCTGTCCGTTGCCCTGTCGCTCAGCCAGCTCGGTGCCCAGAGTGATGAAATAAGGGATGATGGCCACGATGTCTATCAGGTTCATGATATTTCGCGAGAAGGTGGCTTTGCTGGGGCAAGCGAAGAACCGCACCAGCAGCTCAAAAGAGAACCAGATGATGCACAGGGTCTCCACCACGAAGAAGGGATCCGAGAAGCTGGAGGCTCCCGCGGGGGCCCCCGACGTGCTGTTGCTGGCTGCCTCGAACGTGTCCTGCGACAGCGAGGCTGGGTAGTCCTTCTCATCGCGGAACTCGGGTAGCGTCTCCAGGCAGAAGATAACGATGGAGATGAGGATGACGAGCACGGACACGATGGCGATGCCCCGGGCCGGCCCGGAGCTCTCGGGGTACTCGAAGAGCAGCCACACCTGGCGCTGGAAGTCGCGGCGGGGCAGGGGCCGCTCCTCTTCCCGCAGGAAGCCCTCGTCCTCGCGGAACTTCTCCATAGCTTCCTCGCCCAGCTGGTAGAAGCGGATCTCCTCGGAGAAGATGTCGATGGGCACGTTGACGGGCCGGCGGATGCGGCCCCCAGACTGGTAGTAGTAGAGGATGGCGTCGAAGCTGGGCCGGTTGCGGTCGAAGAAGTACTCATTGCGGAGCGGGTCGAAGTACCTCATGCGCCGCTTGGGGTCGCCCAGCAGCGTCTCCGGGAACTGGCAGAGGGTCTTGAGCTGCGTCTCGAAGCGCAGCCCGGAGATGTTGATGACCACGCGCTCCCCGCAGCAGTCCTGCTCGCCGGGGGCCGGCAGCGCGGGCGGCAGCGGCTCGTAGCGGTCGCAGCCACCGCCACCGCCACCGCCGCCGCCGCCGCCGCAGCCGCCCTGAGGCGGGCCCCCGCCGCCGTCGGCCGCCTCCGGCTCCGGCAGGTGGTCCGCGGGCACCACGGTCATGTCGGGCGGCAGCTCGGGGCCTGCGGGGGGCTCGGTGTAGCCGGGGTTCACCAGGTTGTGGGCGCCGCCGCCGTTCGCTGGGTGCTGGGGAGGGTGGGCGCGGTGAGGGGCGGAGGGCGGCAGCGGAGAGCGCAGGAGGCTGAGGTGCTCGTCCATGTGGCGGGGACTCGGCGGCTGCAGGGCCGCGTCGCTCCTCCTCGCGCTCCCCGCCCCTTTGCCTCCTCCGCCCCTGAGGCGAGCCCGCTGCCTGTTGCTGCCGCCGCCGCGAGGCTCTGTCTGGGTCTGGCGCGCTCCGCCAGGCTGCTCCACAGAGACGCCTCCTCACCCCTCCTCCCCGTTCCCTCCGCCGCCTCCCCCGCGGGGCGCGCGCCCGCCCCTCCGCGTCCCCTCAGGATTCCCGCCCACCGCACGGGCGCGCGCCCCTGGGCCCGGCCCGGTTCTGCTCGGCGCCCCTCTCCTCCAGCCCTCGTGGCCGCGTCCCGGTCGCCGGGCTTTTCTCCCCGCACGGGGCCCCACACCTCGGCCCGCGAGCCAGTCGAGCTCTCGCCGCGGCCCTGTGAGCGCCGGCCTCCGGGCCTCCACACTCCACTGGGCGCGCCCGGGGTAGGCAGGTTCCGCAGGGCGGGAGTGGCAGAAATCGGGAGCAGGTGAGGAGGGAGGACAAAGAGGGGCTCCCGGCCGGCGACTGCAGTTGCTGTGGAGCGGGGAGTGGCAGGCCAGGTGGGCGCCCTGCACAGGAAAGAGGCCAGCCTGGTGCCAGCGTCCTGGCTCACTTGAAGGTAGAGGGCCGCCAAGACCTGAGGTGGTGGGGATGTGGTCTCTAAATATTTAAATTTAGCTCTGGCTTGGATGAGAAGCCCAACTAAGTAGTGGGTGCTGATGGGTTTCACATCTGGAGTCTGAAGAAAATGGGTTATTAAATGCGTTCAGAGACCTGGCTTCTTTAGCGAATGGTCAAGCTGATTTTCGTGGCTGAGATTTCAGCCACTGGAAAGAATCAAGGACCAAGTTTCTGGTTGGGATTAGGGCCTGGTGTTTACAGCACACAGAGATTTCCTGTGGGTGGGAAAATAAAAGGAAAATGGAAAAGGGAGTTCACCACGTCTAATTTGTGTGGTTAAAAGGTCCAACTTCATAACTTAAAGTCGGCCTTGAAGAGGGATGGGAGCAGGACCTGTACCTAGACTCTGCTTAATATTTCAGTACTGCCCTTGTGGTAGGGATTTGCCCCACTCTAGTTGTTAAACTGGGGGAACATTCATTCAGCAACTTGTACCTCTTTTCCTTAATGTGGTCCCAGAAATAACTTACATTTATCCCCCTTGAACTTAAACTATTTCTCCAAATTGTTGTGGTCACATTGGACACAATTTCTGTTTCCAGAAATGTTAGCAATCTAATATGCAAGTCTAGAATTTTAAAAAGTCTGTTTTTTATTATGTCATTCAAATCATTTACAAAAGCGGAATTATTGTCTAGACAACTCACACCCATCCAAAGTTAGCTGCCAATTCAATTTGCAGGAAGTGATTTGTGGTCATTACTTCCCACCACCATTCCCAACCATGAGGTTCTCCAGGGCAGACACTAGGCCTTACCCAATTTATATTCCTAGCAACTACCAAAATGCTGTGTCAATAGTGGAAACTCAGTAGGTATTTGTTGAATTGAGTTTCCCCACAAGTGGCTCTTTGCATTTCTATTTGCTCTAGAATGTCAACATTTCTTCTTTTGAGCTGAGGATCCTACTGGGGTTACTAGGATGAGTGAGGGGAAACTGAGCTCACAGTAGTGTACATACATTGCTCAGCTATTCCACAGGGTCTCTACTTCTGGCTTCTCTGGGCCCAGCACACACACATGTTCCTTACTGTCCCTTCATCTTCCACTTCACCTCCAGGTTAGTACCAGGCACCATTGTGAGACGGTAAACTGGGTGACCAGGTAAAACACTGTCTCACAAAACTCCAGAATACTGTTTTGTGTGAAAGCCACTTCACTATTTCACATATATTTTTTGAGCTGGTGATTAGGGTAGCAGTATAATTAATCATTCATATATTTAAATCTTGGAATGAGACAGACTACTTTACTGCAAGGACAGCTCATAGAAAGGCAAAGACCCTATTTTTAACGACCAAATGTTTCATGCACTTTTATGTCTGACTTAGAGAGTGATTTATTCCTCTTTTTGCAGGAATTAGTACTGAAATTAATATTAATCAATGGCTAGGAAGACTAGAGCAGAGGATGGTCCTGTGATAAATGATCACAAACTTCTCCCTACTTCAGAAATGGCTATTTCCATTCCTTTCATATATTTGCCTGGTCTGGAAGACTCTGATTATAAGCTTCTTAGGACAGCCCTTACTTTGTATTTGAGGCCCAGAGAAGTTTTATAGTTCATTCAAGCTCACATAGCTGGTTAATGGTGGAGCTGGGCCTAAAATCTTGGACTATTTTCAAATCCAATGTTTGCTTTACTGTATCACACTGTGCAACTCTTATGCTGATCACTGTGAGTACTTAATAAATACTAGATTTCTAACAGCAGCCTATTTGCTTCTGATTGCTGACTAGTTCACTTCAATTCATATTTATTTTAACTGAAAACCACTGCCTTCTGATGGCCAGTCTATTGTCTGTAGGAAATGAGTTGGTGGGCACATTCCAGCCCTGTTGGACAGCAGAACCCATCACAACAAATCAATGTCAAAAATGGCACTTCAGGAGGAACACATACTATTTATTTGGTACCCCCCAGTGGAGTAGCTCAAAGTGATTTGAAAATGTCTCATTAGTCCTCATGACACCCCTGTGAGATAATAATAATATTATTATAATGTAGTAAATGCATGTAGAATGTGGCAAAGCCCACAGCTTCTACAAGTGTGTGCAGAATTTCTTCATATTTCAGTTTTCAACATTAGAGCCTGAGTAAAACCATCAGGTTTTCAAACAGTAAGAGTAAATCTCGGTGTTTGGTCTTTCTGTGTTGCTCTAGGCATAGCTTGCGTTTCTTACTGACCACAGCGGTACTAGAAATAGCTCACCAGTTGTTTGCCAGATGGTAAACAGCATCTGGGATTAGCCCAGAAGTGTTTGAGGGTGGCACAAGGCAGGCCTAGAGATCCTAATCTGCAATTGTGCATAAATAGGAGAAAGCATCTACTATGTGCAAGGCATTGTTCTAGTTACTGTGGGGATATGAAGTTTAAACATAGACCTTGCCCTCAATGGGCTTACACAGAGTTGAAAAGATAGGAGACAAATCCCTGAAAATTTTTACAATGCTATTAGTTAACAATACATGATAGTAGTACCAGAAAGGTCACAACACACCTTGTCTATTCTAGCCAAGGTGGCTGTCTGGCTGTTTCTCAGTTGTACCAAACTAGTTCATAGATCAGGGTCTTTTGTACTTACTCTTCCCTCTGCCCGAAACATTCTTTCTCCAGATTTTTACATGGCTCTATCACTTTTAGGTCTCCAGTCAAAATGTTATAATGCTTCATCCAAATTGCCTTCCCTGACCACAACCACCTGATTTCAAATAGTTCTCTCCACCCCCCAACACTTGGTAATTTTATAGCCTCTTACCTGCATTGTTTTTTCTCATGCATTTATTTACTTGCAATTATATTTTATATTTATTTGGGTACTTGCTTATTGACTGTCTCTTGCACTAAAACATAAACTCCCTGATGTCAGTGTTTTGACTTTTTCATTTCTGTATGCCCCAAATCTAGAATAGTACCTGGCATGTAGTAAATGCTTAATGTGTTAATATATTAAATAGAAGAAAGAAAAGGTACAGAATGAACTCACAAGAAATATTAAGGTACACTTCTTTTTGTGTGTAGAGGCGTTATTTTGAAGAGTCTGGTTCTATTTTATAGAACCAGCTGGGCTGTGCAAATATGTAAGGAATGTTTCTTAAGTGCCACTTCCTCCTTTTTTCTCTACCTTCTCTTCTCCCCACCATCCTGAATGAGTATATCCTGCACTCCAGAATTATACTTTCAACTTCTCCCTTGATACTCTTCCTGCAGATACCCAAACTTAATATTTATAACACTGAACTCTCTCTTTCTCCCCAAACTTGCTTTTCTTCCTGTTTTTCTTATTTTGTGCTAGAATGCAGAGTCACCCCAGCATCCTTCTCCTGCCTCCACACCCAGTTGTCACTAAATGCTTTCCATTCCCCCTCCAAATCCATCTCAATTATGTTTGTTCCTTTCCATTCTCACTGCCACTGTCCCAATTCTGACTGCCATGATAGTTTTGTAACAGGCTCCCCGCTTTCAGTCTCTCTTTTATGTATTTCATCCTCTAGGATGTAGTTGAGTTATTTTTGTAAAACATGGATTTGATCACATTGCTCTTCAGTGCTGCCCTGGTGTCAAACCCTGGCCCTGGCCTGTGGTTCTGGCAGCATCTCCACACCACTTGCTGGTCCCAGGACAGGTCATCCACTTACGTACTGTTAAGCTTTTGTTCATAGTAGCTGCTCATGCTCTAGCTCGCTGGATATTCCTTCCATGTTTTTCATACTGGCGAATTAAATCTTCAAATTCCTTAGAGGTCACTTCTTTTGAGACCCTTATCCTCCCTGCAAGCCATGATTACCACTTCCAAGAAAACTCAATAAAATTGATTATAAATGAATTCAGTGGTACTCTTTCTCATCAGAGCTCCTATAGCATTTTGTTTATAGATCCATTAGAGAGCTTTATTATACTATATTTAGGTGTATATGATATGACCTGTCTCCTTATGAGAATATGAACTCTATAATGCAAATAGCTAACAGGTTGAGCAATGAATAATACACAGTACTAAGCCAGGCATGGTGCTAAGTGCTTTGTATGCAGTAACCTCCAACAGCCCTGTAAGGTGTGTAATAGTACACTATTCCACAGATGGAGAAACTGAGTGCAGGGTAGTGAAGTCACTAGTGCAAGATCATACAGCGAAGAAGTAGTAAAACCAGGATTCAAGCTGAGAAATTCACATTCTCAAGCCCTACTGTAGGCTACCTCTGAGAGGATTAGAGGCCTTGCCTTATTCATATTGGTATTTCCAGTCTCCAATATTGTGCTGCTATTTCAAATAGTATAATGCTTTTCAAATAGTATAATAGAATAAAAACATTTATGAAGCATGAATACTTATTTACTAAAAAACTGATAGGTAGGCTATGATGAAAGAATTTGTGCTGTTTCTCAGTACGAAGGTTATGAATGAGTTCTGCCGACTTTGTACCATTTTTAAGAAGAAAGAGTCTAAATAAAGAGAG